AACTGAAAGTTAAACTTATGTAACACAAATGTAGTTTTGAAATCTTTAATATAGAACTTATGTTCTAATTTTTTTTTGAAAATAAAGTTTCGACTATGACATTATTTAATAAAAAAAAAAAAAAAAAAAAAAAAAAAATATGTATTATTACAAGTATTAGTTTTCTTAATACAACACAAGTAATATAAGCATAGAAAAGGAGTTCTTAATAGTATTCAAGTAGAATATTACTTCACTGTAGCAGTTTTTACAAACTTAATGAAAGAGCAAAAATTATACTTTATTTATAATATAATATTGATAATATAAAACTATCTATTAGTTTTTGAATATTACTTCACTATATTAGTTCATTACAAACTTAATGAAAGAGCAAAGATTATACTTTATTTATGATATAATATTGATAATATAAGACTATCTATTAGTTTTTGTACTAAAAAAATTCTAATATTAAAGAAATTACAGAAGTCAAATCAAATCTAGAGTAAAGGAAAAAGGAGAGTTTATATAGCTTTTTAGAAAAATAAAAAAAGTAAAAAAAGTAAAAAAATAATTTATCTAAATATTGTTTTTAAGATAATTCAATAACTATATATTTGTTTTATATGATTTATAGCTTATTCAAAAGATCTTATTAAACTAAATCTAATAGTCTAATTTAAATCTAACTTTAGCTATTAAGTTTATTAAGAAATCAATAGTAAACAAAATACTTTCAAGAAATTAACTAAGTAAAATAATAAATAATAAAATAAATAAAACCTATTTTATAATAGTATTATTTAAATTTTTATTATATAAAATTTTTTAAAATAGAAAAAATATTGCTATCTTTCTATTATTTTAGAATTGTTTGTATTATTAAGCAATAGTTAAATAATGCTATAATAGCTTAGATTGTTTTAAGAACTGCGTATTTAATCATTTTATAACTAATTTTAGAAGATTTACAAGCTTTGTTATTAAATAAGTTACTTAAAGTTTTAGTAATCTCTTTAGTAGTGATTTCTGATAGTATAGAATTATATTATTTAAAATTAATAATTAAAAAAGGTCTGTATTCTTCATTTTAGTCAGAATTAAAAATTATTTAATTGAGGTTTTAATAGATAATCTACTTATATAAGTATTATTGAATAGCTATTTTAAAAAGTTTAGTTGTAATTCTATTCTGTATTTTAATATTGTTAAAGTATACAAGTTTACTATATCTTTTAGAATACTATTAATTATTTTTGTAGGCTTAGTTTGTAAAAGATTACATCTTTTGTTTATAGCTTAATTAATATGTTTTCTTATTTGATAGGTATTTTCTAAGTACAAATACTATAAAGAGATTTCTAATAGTCTTTAGCAAAAAAGATCTAACTTGGAATTAAGTTGAGATCAGATAGTAGTAAAAGAAATAATAACACAAAAAGATATGTAAGAAGAGTTAGTTATAGAAGAAAAGAGCATAAGTAACACAGAAGTAGAAATGCAAATGGAACCAATAACAAATATAGAGAAGCATAAACAAGAAGAAGATATAGTTGTTGAGGTAGAGATGAAAGTAAGTAGGACCGAAGAACAAGATGAGAACGATGAAAATGAAGAAGAAAAAATGGAAGATATTAGAATAATTAATGAAAGCCTAGAAATCAAGCCAAGAAATGACATAGTTAAGGAAAAGTTCGATCAACTCAAAGAATATTTCAAAGCATGATATAGCAACTTATCACTTGATGAAAACATATGGGCATCCAAAAAAAATGCATGTAAAGAAGAAGGCACATATAAAGCAAAAGTAGTAGTAATTAATATATTAGGTGACAACGCAGAGCAAAGAGAAAAGTGTATTAGATGGTCATTGAGAGGAATCAAACACTTAAGAGAGATTAATGAAAGATTCGCAAAGGGAAATTTATGGTGCATCTTACACTTTGATTGCAAAAGAGATTATAAAGAAGTGAAAGCTAAATTTGAGAGCAATAAAGAAGAGTACGAGCAACTAAATCTAATTCTAGAGGAAGCACCATTAAAGAAAGCAAATAAAATGAATAATGATAAGCAAAAAGAGATAAGAAGAGTAGAAAGTCAGAATACAAACAAAGAAGAAAAAGAAAGGCAAGCAAAGATAGAACTAGAAGAGATTGAGAGAAAAAGAGGTGAACTAAGAGAAGAACAAGTGAAGATCCAAATAAATCAGATTAAAAACAAAGGAAAAGAAAAGATGGTATATGAAAAAGACAAAATAGAAGGAAAAGCACAAGCAAAAAATATCACTATAAAAGCAAAAAAGGAAGAAAATGATACAAGATATCAAAGAAATGAAGAGAATAGAGGGAGAAGTACTCTAAAGGAAAAGAGAAAGCGATACTATGATGAAGAGAGTAGAGGCCCAGAAGGTTTAAAGAAAAGAGATTTGAATCAAAAAGGATCTAAAGCGAGTACAAGCAGAGAAGAAAAAGCAATAACAATGTGAGATATTCCATTACATATTTCAAGAACTCAAGTATTCAGAGCAGTAATACACATAGGAAGAGTTGCAAATATCAAAATGATTCAAGAAGGTCGTATGAAAATGAGAGCAGAAATCATATTTGAAGAAGTGAGAATAAACAACTAAGAAAGAGAAATCTAGGCTATACCTTTACTGAACAATGTACTAGTTTGTATCATGCCAGGACTAAACAGTAGAGAAGTTCTTGAAAGCCAAAAACAATATACAACAAAGCTATATAATATTCCAAGAGAAGCTAATGAAGTACTTCTGTTTAGACAAATTAAGCACACAGGAGCAAAAATGGTACATATCTTCAAAAACAAAAATAAAAACAATAAGGGATTCGTAGTTGTTTCATTTAAAAGTAAAGAAGAGTTAGAGCAAGCAAGAAGATATAGTATGTGATACTATGATACAAGACTCTCCTGGGAAAATGCAAAAGCTAATGCTAATGAAACATCATACGATAGAGCAGGACAAAAGAGAATGAACTTGGAGCAAGAATGGAGAAGCAAGTGGCATGAGCAAAGTGATATAAATAAAAAAGAAGATATAGCCAACAGCTATAAGAATAGAAAACAGTATAATAAGAAAGAAAGTATACAGGAAAAGGAAGAAGAAGAAGTTAGCAAGAAGAGAAAAACTGAAAAAAGCAATAGACAGATAAGAAATATGGAAAGCCAAAAAGATGATAACATGTCAATAGTATATGTAGTTCAACTTATTCACAGATTAGAGGAAAAAGTAAGTAAGTAGAAGCAGAATGCTCATAATTGCTCCTGAAAGTAGCCAAGGTTCAACCACAGGATGCCTGTATAACTTATGAAGGAAAACTTAAGTATACAGAAAGGACACATAGTATACTAAACCAAGGTGTTAATAGAAAGACAAAGAAGCAAGAAGAAGAGCTAAAGAGAAGTGAAGATAAAGAAACGAAGTATGTATAGAAGAGGAAGATCAAATTTGGAATGCATAATATTAATAAAATAAAAGGGGATATGTTAAAGCTAGAATGGTTAGCAGATTATTGCAATGAAGAACAATTTAACCTAATAGGTATCGTAGAAACAAACATAAGTGAAAAAGAAGACAAATAGTTTGATACAGAGAATGAATCATACAAAAGTTTTTGGACGAATACAAAAGAAGATAAGAATAAAGGATCAGGAATTGGCCTTTTAGTAGACCAGAACTGGCTTCGACATATAGGAGTATGCAAGAAATTTAGTTCTTATCTTCTCAAAGCAGAGTTCTATTTTAGAAAAGTTATTATGCAGGTGTGGGTTTTGTACATAACACCTAAAAATGAAAAAGTAGCCAAAGAAGTACACAAGATAATCATAGAAGAGCTTATCAAAAATAAGAAAAATACGTATAGCATAATAATGGGAGACTTCAATGCTATACTCAATTATGATCTAGATACTAGTAGCAGAAAAAAACGAGTAAAAGATGCAAATTCAAAAATCATAAAATGGCTAAGCAATTTAGATTATATTGAGTCATTTCGCTTCTGCAACTCAAGTTCTACTAAGTTTTCATGGACAAATGGCAATGTAGCAACACGAATTGATTATATATAGTGCTGTCAAGATTTAAAGCCGTTCATTGTAGAAGAGGATATTGACAGTTCAGAAACAATAATAGATAGTGATCATAGTATAGTGTGGATGCAATTAGATAGTATTGACTTATTCGAAAAAAAGCGAATAAGAACTAAGAAAAGCCAAGGAGAAACAAGGAGAATCTATTTGTACCACAAGGCAACAAAAGAAGATTGGGAAGCATATAGCTAAAGAGTAAAACGTTTGCTGATAAATGCAAAAAAAAAGCAAAGAGAACAACAGCGTAGATTACAGAATATAAAAAGTGAAAGCATTGATGAGAACGGAAATTTTAGCTAGGGCGATAACAACAGCTGCAAATGAATGTATACCATCAACAAAAGTACAAAACACAAAGTACCAGATAAGAAAAGAAGCGCCTAAGTCAATATTATATAATAGAGTTAAGGTACTAGGTAAACTATATAGAAAAGGTATGAAGAACCTAGGAGAAAGTACAGACGAGGTTGAAGAATTGTTGTATAATGCACGTATTAGACAGTTAAATGATGAGTACGATACACAAATTCCTGAGCTAGTAGGCAAATAGAATAAAGAATGGTATAAAGAGATAAAAGAGTGGTGGAACATATTAAGAGAAAAAGCTAAAAAAGAAGTAAAGACAGAAAAAGAAAAGGAAATTAGAAAGTATATTGAGAGAAGGTTTGCAATAGATATAGCAGAACCAAAAAAAATACTCAATAGTTTGCTAGAGAGACACCATAGCAAAATAGTATTAGACAAAGTACTAATCAATAGCGAGAGTAAGTTTGAAAACAAAATATTAATTACAGAGAACGAAGAAGTAAAAGAAGAAGTAGTATGATATTTTCAAAAGCAATTCTGACAAAGAAATTACAAATTTGATAGAATGAAAGAAGAATAGAAGAAAATTTATGAAGAACAAAGCAATATTAAAGAAGAATGGTACAAAGAAGTAATGACTGAAGTAACAGAAGAAGAATGGAGAGAAGTAATATACTCATTGCAAAAAGATACAGCACTTAGAATCTTTGGTATTGGCTATAAGCTAATTAAAAATGTGAGTGTAGAAAGTACAAGTCACATGATTGACTTGCAAATAAGGTTATTATAAGAGGAGAGTTCCTGAAGAAATAGAAACTTAGTCAGATTTACTTAATTCCTAAAAGTAACAACTGGAAACATAATCTAGCATTCACTCATCCAATTATACTACTAGAGATATTTCACAAACTAGTAGTCAGAATTGTGCAAAAAAGACTTTGCAGGGTAATAGTACAAAAAAGAATACTCAAAGGTGCTAATTATGCAGGTCTGCCTGAAGAAAGCACAATAGCGCCAATACATATCTTGAATAATGTAATTGAAGATGTTATACAGAAAAACAATGAGCTTTGGATTGCATTTCAGGACATGAAAAAAGCTTTCGATTCAGTAAGTATGACTGCACTCAAGTTTGCAATGAAAAGAATAAGATTTCCTGAGAGCCTGATTAAGTTCATTAAACAGTTATATAAAGATCGTGAAATAAGAATCATTACAAACAATAGACCAACAAGCTTTTTTACAGCAGGCGATGGAATTGATCAGGGTGAAGTAATATCACCTCTAATGTAGAGAATTTTTTATGATCCACTGTTGGTATGCATACAACAAGCAAGACTCAGCTATGAAATGCATCTTGAATAGCCATCAGATATAAGCAGAAATATTATGAGAGATGAGAAAATCGAAGTTGCAGCATTGGCCTATGCAGATGATACTAAATGAGTTGCAAATTCGAAAGATTCATTGCAAAGTATTATAAATATCTCAAATGAATTTTTTGAGCTCAATGATATAGAAATTAATAGAGCAAAGTCTGAGCTAATCATATGGAAGCCAAACAAAAAAGCAAAGGTGACAGAAGGAATTTGAATAGGAATGCCTCCTGAGTTTATTGAAGCCAAGAATGCAAAAGAAAGCACAAGATTTCTTGAAGTTTGGATAAATCTTAAGAGACAAGAAAAGGCAAGCAGAAGCTGATGCAAGAAAGTTATTAGCTATTTGACAAATATGTTGAGAATGAAAAAACTATCGATTAATTAAATAGTATATATAAACAATATGGTCTTGTTACCAAAATTAGAATATATACTATCAAATATAATAATCGATAAGAAGAAATACAATGAAATACACTAACCATTCATAAAATTATTAAAACAAAAAGCAGAGCTGCCAATAACATGTGCAAATGTGACAGTCTTACATAATGAAATATTCAAAGTTATGAGCTTATGGCAAAAACATATAGAGTACTATGTATCAGAACTTTTTGTATGAATGAATTCAAGTGGTTTACTAGAAGACACAACAATTATGTGTCTGAAGCAATATCAGTTAGATACAAACTTAGCAGAATGTATTTTAACAACAAAAAGCAGTAAATTAAAAAACATAACCAGCAGAAATCTCGGAGCTAAAGTTTTACAGATAGCAAAAAAACTTGGCTTCACGGTCTCCAAAAGTATAGACACAGAGTGCTAGCACGTGATTAAGCTATGTGAAAGAAGAGATTTGCTAATTCAAAGTATACTTGCAAAAGCAAACAAGGAAAAAAGTATTGGTGAGGCCAGTAGATTAAATATATAGCACTTAAATCAACTACTAGATCCTGAAAAGAAGCGTATGATTATATAGAGGTAGCTCAAAGTATTAAAAGGAAAAAAACATGTTGGAAAAAAAGCAAAGTGGTTCACTCTTCTCAAAGCAGAAGTAATTGAGAATATGTTTACAAGAGAAATTAAAGAGAAGTTTAAAAGTAAGTTCGAATTGCAAATAGAGCAAGGAAAAAAGAATGTATCAAGTGATAGAAGAAAAAGAGAATAGATACTCTTAGAAATGAATACTGAAAATCAAAAAGAGATTGGATGTATCACAAGAAAGAGTAAAAAAACAGCGGAAGTAGAACTATGGGAAGAGGATAAAGAAAATGAAAGGTGGCAAGAAAATAGTTATAATGAAGAGTTTAAGATAAAGTTAAAAGAGAAGAGCACTAGACGAATAAAGTTAAAAGAGCTACAAGATATCTCAAACTTAGTAAGAAAGAAAGAAAATACATCTTATATAGTAGCAAACAAGGAAGTTTTATTAAAGACAGAGAACGTAAAAAAGATAGCAGCAAAGGACAATATAGTTAACGAACTCAGAAATTGGGAGAAAGTGCAGATTGAAAATAGCTAGGAAGCAGAATTAATAAATCAGCTGATTAGGGATAAAGATATACAGATAGAGTTAAAGGAAAGCTTCACAAAGAATATGGA